CAGCGCTTCACGTTTGCAGCTTAAATTACCCATGTCAGCTTACCTGCTTGCCAGTCCATAGCTCAACTGGTTTCAAAATCGCCGGTGGTGGTATACGAATTCGCTTCTGCTGTTTTGAACTTGCATCCAGAATCGCTGCAGCAAAACGATGTATTTCGGAGCGTGGGAAAAAGCTGTCCTTATGCGTTAGCAAATATCCTCCAGTAATGAAATCCTGAAAAACTGAACATTTCAAAACTTGCAGCACTTAACAGTATTTAATAACATGTACATGATTTCCCTTTATTCATGAAAATCAGGTTTCTCATCACCCAGAAGGAATGTTTTCGCTGCAAACTCTCTAAACAACAAATATTGGCCAGTACACCGACTTTCGGTGCGGAAATGTGTTTTTTGCAAGCTTCCTCGCAGGCTTTTATTGCTAACGGCACTTTTTTCCGGCATATGCTTCAAGCTAAAAGAATTGAGACTGCCAACACGACTGTCAAAAAACATCCCTTGAAATTTCAGCTTTCTAGCTTTTCTGGTTCCCGAGTTAGCAACTTACCAGCCGAAAACTTTCACGAGCCCGTACGCGGGAGCCAGCATACTTGGGGGCTGAATTTGTTGTTAATGTGCGGCATAACAGTCCGTAACTTTTTCAACGAAAAATTTCTTTTTGGATACCGTTACGAAGCAAACTCTGCTAGTTTTGCTTCTTTCTACGCCAGGTCTACACAACGAAGGCACCGCAGAATGCCAGGAGCTTTTAATTCACCCACTGATATGATCCAAGGTTTTTCGGCCCAGAGATTCGGCAACGAGGCTGGAGTCCCAAAACAATTTGGGTAAAAGATAATACGTTGTAAAAATTCACTTGTATTGCAGCAATCAGTGGTTCGCCAGACCTCGGTGTTATCAGGTTACTTTTCACTCCCATCAACAGGGATGCCTCGGCTCGTGCTTCGTATGTCTGAGGAACGTGTAAATTCATCTCATCACCATCGAAATCAGCATTATATGGTGTGCAAGCACATTCATTAAACCTAAAACAAGGCTAAAAAAGTCAGCAAAAAATCCAAGTTCTACACTCCTTACCTCATATTGTTCAAAAAATACAGAATTATATAAAACGCAAACAGGACGAATAGATTTTCGTCCGTGGCTGATTTCAAATCACTGTAGCCAAAAAAAAAAAACTGTGAGTGAAGAAAAAAAGAGTAAAAAAGGGGACCAAGTGAATACTCGTGTAAGCAAGAAAAATA